TGCAACTTGCTTCGAAGCAGGTCAGCATTCTACTCGCACAGCCAGGCGCACTTGCTATCCCCCCCTTGTTATTTCCCCCTGGATGGAAAAAGATGGGTTCAAGCATGCAGTCAAAGGCAGGCAGGACGAAAATAAAGCCAGAGTTGAGGCAACCGTTGGCCCTTAATTAGTGCAGGAACGGGCTCAAAAGTGGGATGGATTAGAATGGAGAGAGATGCAATTTGGACTGGAATGGAACGGGATGGGATGTAGTGGGATGGAATGGAATGGAATGTGTGATTGGATGAAACGGGATGGATTACGTTCCTAGTAGGTTGGCTTTCAAGAACCACATGGCATGGCAGGCAGCACAGCTTCTAAGAATTCCCAAAAGCAACCCCTACGGATGAAGCATTTGCCGTGTCAAGGCTAATAGTGGGTTGGCTTTCAAGATTCACAGGGCTTTTGAGAATTCTCAAAAGGCAGCCCGGCACATCAGACCACCACTCAGAAGACGGGCGGAGCGGAAAAAAAATCCAAGAGTTCTCAAAAGTGACTCCAACACGGCATGGCAGCACGACACATGACATGCCACAGCATGGACGTAGGGCGGAAGGAATGGCATTTTTTTTTTTTCAAAGTCGACTTACAACAAAAGTGGCGTCAACATGGAATGGCAGCACGGCACATGCCACACCACACCGTATAGACGATGTGTGGAAGCAAGGGCGAGGCACTCACGTGTTCATCATGAGCGTGATGTTGTCTCCTCTCAGTAATATGCGGCCTGGGAAAAAGCGGGGAGAAGAAGAGGGGAGGAGAAAGGGGGGGAGAAGAGGGGAGGAGAAGCGGGGAAGAGCAGAGCGGACAGGAAGAGTGGATGAGAAGAAGGGAGGAGAAGCGGGTAGGCGCACAGGGTAGGAGAAAACGGGAGGAAAAGGCAGGAGGAGCAGAGGGGAGACGGCATGCAAGGAGGAGTGGCAATAAGGAAAACCAGAAAGAGAGGAAGGTGGGAAAAGAACTAGCACAATAAGTTTTCTGTCTCTTTTGTATTTCCTCAGAAGAACTGAGGTGCAATGAGGTCAGAATGACCCATATCTGGAGTGCAATTATGAGACAAGAGAGGTGCGACTAGCAGTAAGGCAAGGGGTGGAGTGCATTGGGGTGGAGAGGAGTGAGGTAGAGTGGAAACAGAAAAACATACCAAGTGGTTTCCTGGTTTGCTTCTTCATGGAAATCTCCTCTGCATCTTCCAGCACCAGATTCATGTACTCGTCGAAACCCTGAGAGGGGCCAAGGCAGATGAAAGCGGATAAGAAAGGAGGGAGGGAGGGAGGGTGAGAGACCACAGGAGGAAAGTCCCCGCGTCTGCATCCCCCAACACAAGATTCATGTACTCGTCACAGCCCTGTGAGGGAGATGGGTTGAAAGAGAGGGATGAAGGGGACACATAAGTTCCTGTTCTCCATAAATTTCTCCTCTGCGTCTTCAAGAAACAGATTTATGTACTCGTCACGTCATAGACCTGACAAGGATGATGGCACATTGAAGCACATGATTCAATATTGAAAAGGCACGGGAAAGGGAAAGGCATGAGAGAGAGCAAGGCACGAGCGAGGCCAGGGCATGAGCCACACGAAAGGTGTGAAGGGAAGGGGGGGTTGAGTTGGGAAGGGGGGTATCAATGGTAGGTAGGTGCGAGATAGTGCAACCAGTGATTGCAAGGAAGTGCAATCACAACATTTTTGAGGCGCCTCAAAAGTATGCAACCAGTGACTGCAAGGAAGTGCAAACACAGCATTTTTGAGGCGCCTCAAAAGTATGCAACCAGTGACTGCAAGGAAGTGCAATCACAGCATTTTTGAGGCGCCTCAAAAGTATGCAACCAGTGACTGCAAGGAAGTGCAATCACAGCATTTTTTAGGCGACTCAAAAGTATGCAACCAGTGACTGCAAGGAAGTGCAATCACAGCAATTTTGAGGCGCCTCAAAAGTATGCAACCAGTGACTGCAAGGAAGTGCAATCACAGCATTTTTGAGGCGCCTCAAAAGTATGCAACCAGTGACTGCAAGGAAGTGCAATCACAGCATTTTTTAGGCGCCTCAAAAGTATGCAACCAGTGACTGCAAGGAAGTGCAATCACAGCATTTTTTAGGCGCCTCAAAAGTATGCAACCAGTGACTGCAAGGAAGTGCAATGCAATCACAACACATTCGCAGAAGTACGCACAAAATATGGCGACAGCTAATGAAGGAGTAGACTCACAGTGATTCTCGCAAAACATGAGCAAATGGGTGCGCAAAAGGGTCTCCTGCAGAGGCGTTGCATGGTGAGTTTACTACTCACAATGATTCTCCCCTCGATCCGCGTGTCCTTCTGCTGGTACAGCCAGATCTGAATCCGCGATTTCTGCAGGGAAAGCGCGGCCAACAAGATGGGAGCAGCCAATCAGAGACACCAGAAGCAAGTACAACACCGAAAGGGGGGAGAGATGGGGGGGTGGTCACTGGTCAATGGTCAGTGCAGTGGGAGGTGCCCTGACAAGAATGGCGGAACCCGGGGGAGGCGATTTCTGAGCTTCAATAAGTGGTCACTGGTCAGTGGTCAGGGCAGTGGGAGGTGCCCTGACAAGAAGGGCGGAACCCGGGGGAGGCTGTGCGAAATGATGATCATGACGGATGCGAGTGGGAAAGAGACACGGACGGAGTTGAACGCTTGCGCGATTCCTCGGAGACACCCAGGAGAAAATAAAGAAAGAAAAATGTTGGCACCCTAAGCGACTTTTGAGACGACTCAAAAGTCAGCTCGCTTCCTCGGAGACACCCAGGAGAAAAGAAAGAAAGACAAATGTTGGCACCCTAAGCAAACTCCTCTTCACGGTCGCAGCGGGAGCATCGGTTTCGCGATCCATAACAGTCTGTACCCCAGTTCAGTTTTGAGTCGACTCAAAACCTGTACCCCAGTTCAGAACAAAAGCGGGACCCAAAGCCAATCCTGCACCCCGCGAGTCAACACTAGGGATTGAGTCAACAATCAGCCCTAGCCGAACCAGTCCGGAGGGCGGACCCATTGCAGCAACCGTGACCTTTGTCGGATTGCGCCGTGCGCTAATTGCCCAATCGGAAACGGAAAATAAAAAAAGGTGCACGGAGCCAGCCGTTATCGAACGGTCACGGAGAGAGGATCGCAGCGGCCCGGAACAGAATTTTGAAAGGCCGAACTCACACTTTGTAGGAATCGAAATATCAAGTTCTGAAGGCGTCAAGGCCGCAACGACAATTGCACGCGACGCGCCCATGTACAGATGGCCACATGCGACAGGGACGGCGGGAAAAGGGGGAACGAGTGGAAACGGGGGGGAGGGCGAGGCGGGAGGGGGGTGGGGGTCGGTGGGGAAGAAGGGGTACGGAAGGGAGGGGAAGAATAGGTACGTTTTTAGACGAGGGAAAAGATGATACTAAGAAACGACACCGTGAAAAACCAGGGGGCATGGAGTGAGACGAAAGAGAAAAATGAGACAAGATTTAGACTTGGGGTAGTGGAACCCTAAATGCGATGACTACTATTTAGGTACCGAGGAATTTCGTCTCACAACCCAGTTATGCCGTAAGCGAATCTCAAATATCCGAAAGAGCAAGATTAAAAAGCGGCAATAGTGGAGGAATGACTAGCTGGGTGATGCAATCGGCGAAAAACACTACAGTCCCGACCAAAGGCACCAGCACAAGAACCGATCTTCAGCCCGACGAGCAGTAGCACGCACAGAGGAATTCACCTTGATCCATTGCACTTTCCTTAGACTTCTCTAGGTAATTAAAAAAAAAAACTCGGAGACACCGTGAGTCTTAGCACGCACAATGGGCTGGGTCATAATCCGCTGCACTTTGGTCGCCATCTTGGCGCTTCTGGAGTCTCCACGCGAAGCCGCACGTGAAGGTAAAAGAACGCCGGGCGAATAGGAAGGAAATGTTGCAAAACAACGTTCCTACGGAGAAAACGACGACGTTGCGATTGACTGGCTAAAAACACTTCAAAAGACAGGAGACAGTTTCACGCTAGGAGAGACTAGTGGAACGTGCGGCCTTATGTGGAATGGCGAGTGAGATATAAAACTTGTCTAGAGGAGTTACAGCAAGATTCCGCACGTCTAAAGGTAAATCGAGGAGGAAAGAGGAAAAAGAGAAGTGAAGCAACTAATTAGAAGGGAGAAACGGTACGAGCCGTGTGTTGATCTGGTCTGGTCAGGGATATTTGGGGTGGAGCAGAGCTGAAATTACAGATCTCACCACACAGCTCCACCGTACTGCCAAACTGCAAAACGCTCTGCAACCTACCGGACCCGAAGGAACCGTCATTATTCGGCATATCCTTCACAGCGAAACGCAATCCTACCATACCAACCATAAGTAGTTTCTTTCTTACCCGCTGCTCAAAACAAAAATATACACAGAGGTTCTATTGTGAGCAAAATGGTGCAGCTACAAAGTGAATATACTTATGCAAGGAAGAAGTCATGCTATTTTTGGGGTTAAACAATAATTCATGCAAGCCCTACTCTCCTATTCTTTCTACTAAACCGGTACCCTGAAAGCAACAAACTCCCCGTCATGGTCCTGCCGCAGCAGGCAGCTGCATCTGGTGTTGGATTGGAAGTAGCGTAGATGAAATGTTACAAATACCCTGCAGGCTACTGCCTTTCCAGTCATGGAAGCGACTCATTCCCCATCATGGACCAGCAGCAGCAGGCAGTTGCGTCTGGTGGTGTTGGAAGCGGACAAAACGTTACAAGTACCGTGCAGGCGACTGATCTGACTTCCCAATTATGGTCCCGCTGCTGCAGGCAGCTGCATCTGGTGGTGTTGGATTGGAAGCAGATGAAATGTTACAGATAGGTAACCTGCGGGCGACTGCCTTTCCAATCAGTCCCGCTGCTGCAGGCAGCTGCATCTGGTGGTGTTGGAAGCAGACAAAATGTTACAGATAGATAGGTACCCTGCAGGCGACTGATCTGACTTCCCAATCACGGACCCGCAGCAGCAGGCAGCTGTGTCTGGTGGTGTTGAAAGCAGACAAAATGCACCAGTGTGCCGCCTGGATAGACGGCAAACACGCTCCCTCCAATCCGCTTGCGACAGATGGCACACAGCCGGTCCCCTGTGATGCTGACATGGCGCTTCCTGCCATTCGCTAACTCCTCCCGGAGCTGTACGTGCAGGGGAGGAGGAGAGGGGCAAGTGGGGAGGGATGGGGAGGGACGAACGAGAAAAGGAGGAGGTCAGGGGAGGGAAGACAGGTTGGGGATACCCCCTAATACTCATCTCCCGCTTCGTGCATGGACTGTGTCGGAGGGAAGGCGATATAGAGGGGACGGACGGGTGACGAGAGGAAGGAGACGTGTGTGGGATGTGAGAGAGTGAGAAGGAGAAGAGAGAGGATGGAGTGAGGGACAGGGCAGACACGCACACAGTGTACCCCTCACCTGCCACACTGTACCCATCACCTGCCCCACTGCACCCCTCACCAACCGCACCGCACCGCTCACCTGCAGGTTCTCGCTCCGCCTGAGGTTCTTCACCACTGCACTGTTCCTCCTCTGCTCGCTGCCGGCTCGCAGCACTGCCTCTAGATACAGCAGCACACTCTGAAGAATGGGTGGGGTGTGGATGGGGGTGGGTGGGATTGCGTTGTTAGTAAACCAGCTCGTTCCTCCTCTGCTCACTGTCGGCCCGCAGCACTGCCTCTAAATACGGCAGCACCCTCTGAAAAAAAGGGTGGGGTTGGGGGTGGATGAAAGTGGGGGGGTGAGTGACTTGTAGGTAAACCACCACTGTTCCTTCTCTACTCACTGCCGCCCGCAGCACTGCCTCTAGCTATGGCAGCACACTCTGAGAAATGGGTGGGGGTGGGGGTGGGGGTGCAGGACACTCTTGAGAAGGTTAAAACTTAGCTGCAGGTAAACCACCACTGTTCCTCCTCTGCTCACTGCCCGCCCACAGCATTGCCTCTAGGTATGACAGCACACTCTGAGAAATGGGTGGGGGTGGGGGTGGGGGTGGGGGTGCAGGACACTCTTAAGAAGATTGAAACTTAGCTGCAAGTAACCAGCACTATTCCTCCTCTACTCACTGCGCGCCCGCAGCACTGCCTCTAGCTATGGCAGCACGCTCAGGTAGTGCAAACAGGGTCTAGGGTTGTGGGGGGGTGTGCGGGGGAGATGCAGGTGGCGGTGAGATGCAGGTGGCAGTGAGATGCAGGTGGCAGTGAGATGCAGGTGGCGGTGATATGCAGGTGGCAGTGAGATGCAGGTGGCGGTGCAGCCCTCATGTGCCCAACAGCCCTCATGTGCCCAACAGCCCATGTTTAAGAATTCTCGAAACTGCCCATGTGCCCTGCCTCATGCTGAAATCACTTATGAGAATGCTTGAAACTGATCCCAACATATGAATCCATGTGCCTTGCCTTATCCTCATCTGCATCCTACCTGCAACGGCACGTAACTTGGTAACATGTGTAACGCCTCCATGGGTTCAACCATCGCCCCCGCCTCTCCATCACCTCCCCCTATCACTCCCTCATATAAACCATCTCTCATACCTGTAACGGGACATCGTGCGGTAACATGTGTAACGCCTCAAAAGGTTCAACCATCGCCCACCGCCTCTCCATCACCTCCAGAGCCGCCGCCACCATCACCCCCTCCCTCAGCCGCCACCTGTGCAGTGCTGCTCATTGCTAATTACCCCACACACATCATATCTCACCTGTAGTGGCACGTCGTGTGGCATCATGTGTAGCGCCTCCATGGGGTCGATCATGGCCCACCGCCTCTCCATCACCTCAAGAGCCGCCGCCACCATCACTCCCTCCCTCAGCCCCCATCTGTTCGCCCCCCCTCGCCTCCCAACCACATCAACCACTTGACTTGCTTCTCCTTCGTCCTTCTTGCTCTCTGTCACACCCGTGTAGCTCTGTAGGGTTGAGGAGACTGGAACAGAAGATGCAAGGATGCTGCTTCCCTCCCTGCCCCCCTCCTCGTCCCCTTCCACATCTGCTATCACAGCCAGCCTCTTTCCCTTTCTCTCTGCACTGATCGCCCCTGCTGCAGCGTCTGCTGTTGCTGTTTCTGCGGCAGCGTCTGCTGTTGCTGTTTCTGCGCTGACTGCTTGCTTTCCCTCTTGTCCACCTCCTGACCCCCTCTTTCCATGCACCTTCTCCGCACCTTCCTCTTCTTGCTTCTCTTCCTCCCCCTCCCCTTGACTGACGGGGTAGAACCTTCCAAAGTGGGCGGCAAACTGAGTCAGCACCACGTCAGACAGCAACAGCACCCGCAGCAGCACCTGGTGGGGCGTGGAAGCGGTAAGAAGGGCGCTGGAGTTGCTAGAGCTGCTCCCTCCCACATCAGGCATAGCCTCCTCCCTTGCAGCCCCTTTTGTTTCTCCTCCTCTTCCTCCCGTTGCTGCTCCTCTTGTTTCCCCTCCCACTGCTGCTGCCGCTGTTGCTGGTGCTTGTGCTTGTGCAGTGGCGGCGGTGGCGGGAGCGGTGGGAGTGGATTGGAAAGCGGTTATGGAGGAGGTGGAGAAGGGAGGCAGGAGAGGGATGAGCGCAGGAATCTGGGAGAGAGGAGAAGAGGAAGAGAATGAGGTGTTGGTGTTGTTGGTGGTGGTTGTGGTGGTGGTGGAAGGAGGAGGAGGCATTCGAGGGGAGATGAAGGGTAAGAAGGAGGGAGCAATAGAGGGAGGGGATGGGCGAGAGGGAGGAGGGGAGAGGGAGAGAAGCTGGTCGCAGATGGAGATGCAGTGAAGGGGCTGATTCAGCTGCTTGGGAGTTGGGTGGGGGGAAGGGTGGGAAGGAGTGGCGTGGCGGGCGGGAAGGGGTGTGTTTCAAGCACCACACAATTGACCATGTTAATAATCCATACACCTGAATGTGTATCCTGCAGACACTGTTAATAAAGCCAAGGGCAATCCTCATGTGGCCGATCATCCCCCCTAACGGAGAAACCCAGGCCAAGGGAAGCTTCCTGGCACCATCCATGTTTTGAGTCAACCCAATACACAGAACAAGCACCATCCACAGCAGAGCATTCAAACCACCCACTGCCCACCCTACTGCTGTCACTGCCCGTCCTTGCATTGCATACCGATTTTGCATAGAGCATAAACACAATCCACAGCAGCGCATCCGGACCCCCCATTGCCTCTACTGCTGCCGCTGCGCTTCCTTTGCATCGCATGGGCACCACAAGCACGCATCGTACCTTCCTAGCGTAGAGCACAAGCACCATCCACAGCAGCGCATCCCGACCGCCCACTGCCTGCACTGCTGAAGAAAGAAGTGCTTTGAGACGTCACAAAACACTTATTTCATCACATGCCTTCCCAATAAGATGTCACACCTTCCTGGCGTAGAGCACAAGCACCATCCACAGCAGCGCATCCCGACCGCCCACTGCCTCCACTGCCGCTGCTGCCGCTTCTGCTGCACGCATGGGCGTTCTTGCTCCTAACGGCGTCGCTGCGGTTGCACCGCCTGCTGCTGCTGCTGCTCCTCCTGCTGACGCTGCTGTTGCTGCTGTTGGTGATGGTGCAGCTGTGGCCTGGGTGGGTGGATGGGCGTGGGTGTGCAGCAGGAGGCGCAGGAGAAGGGAAGCCTTCTCCTCAAAGAGGGAGTGTGGAGGGAGCATTTGGAGCACCTGGAGGGAAATTGTAAGGGGGTTGAGGGACGGCGGTCAGTGGCATGGCTAGATGCATGGGCAGATGGAGGGGTGTGGAGCGCAGGAGAAGGAAGGCTTTATTCTCAATAGAGAGCGTGTGGAGGAAGAATTTGAAGCACCTGGAGGGACGAGCAGGGAGGAGGGGATGTTACGAGTGGAATGAAGAGGAAAGCAAGATGGGAAAATCGCTGTATGAGTTAGTACAAGATCACTCAGCAAGGTGCGGTGCTGTAATGCTGGTGCTGTGGCAGTCGCTCATTAGAATCGCAAAGGGCGGGGTGAGCGAGGGCGTGCATCACTGCTGCAGGACCAGGCAAGTTCAAAGACCCAACCCACTCAATTGTAGTTAAAAAAAAAAAAAACAAACAAACAAACTCATCTAACCTCAATCCACCTCAACCTTCACCACCCTACGTTCATCTAACCCCCCTTCCCATCCCCTCCCTTCTTCCCCTCCCAACCTGCAATCGATCCCACACCCACCCCACCCTATAAACCACACAACACTGTTCCGCACCACACCCCACCTCTCCTCACCTCACTGCACCGCATCTCACCTCTGGAATAAGTCGCAGCCTGATCCGCTGCAACACGGCTGCCAGCTTCGCCCTCTCTGGACCAATCACAGCAAGGCGCTCTGCTGCTGCTGACGTGGCTGCTGCTGATTGACAGAGCTCTGCTTTGACCCGGTGAAGGCTGAGCCGAACCTGAGGTTCGGAAGAGCATCAGGAGAGGTATGGGAGGGAGGAGTAAAAGTGGTATGAATAAGGGGGGAGAGGTATGGGATGGGTATAAACGATGTGTGGGAGAGGGACCAGAGGTGCTAAGGAGAGAGACAAGCTACCGAAGAAGAGGAACAAGAGGCATGAAGAACATGATCCACTCCACTCTACCATGAAAAGAACTATAGCATGTAGACTCAAAAATCAGCACGGAAGACACACACTCACCAGGTCTAGCTGTAGCTGTGACGCTGCTGCTCCCACATCCTGCACCCCCTGACTCCCACCAGCACCACCACCAGACCCACCGGCCCCACTGCTGCTAATCCACCGTCTTCCCTTCTCCCCACTCCCTCTCCCGCTCCCCCCACCACCACCGCTGCCGCTGCTGCCCCTCCAACCCTCTCCAGATCCCTCCTGCTCCTCCTCCTCCTCCCCCTCCCCGTCCCCTTCCCCCACGCCCTCCCCTCCGCCCCCCTCGCCCATGGCCTGAGCGGTTTGCTCCAAGAGGTGCTCGAGGAAGGAGGCGCTGAGGTGAGGGGCGACTTGGCGGATGAGAGAGAGCACCAGGTCTGATGGGGCAGGAGCGGGTGGGGAGGGAGGACAGAGAGACGGGGGTCCATGAGAGAGAGATGGGCCATGGGCGACGGGGCCACCATGAGAGGGGGATGGCAGGGAGGAGCAGCTTGCAGCCCCCTCGCCCATGGCCTGAACGTGTGCTCTGCTCCATGAGATGCCCGAGGACTGAGGCAGTGAGATGAGGGGCCGCCTGACGGATAAGTGGGCACATGAGAGAGCACCAGGTGGGCAGATGAGAGAGCACCAGGTGGGCAGATGAGAGAGCACCAGGTGGGCAGATGAGAGAGCACCAGGTGGGCAGATGAGAGAGCACCAGGTGGGCAGATGAGAGAGCACCAGGTGGGCAGATGAGAGAGCACCAGGTGGGCAGATGAGAGAGCACCAGGTGGGCAGATGAGAGAGCACCAGGTGGGCAGATGAGAGAGCACCAGGTGGGCAGATGAGAGAGCACCAGGTGAGCAGATGAGAGAGCACCAGGTGGGCAGATGAGAGAGCACCAGGTGGGCAGATGAGAGAGCACCAGGTGGGCAGATGAGAGAGCACCAGGTGGGCAGATGAGAGAGCACCAGGTGGGCAGATGAGAGAGCACCAGGTGGGCAGATGAGAGAGCACCAGGTGAGCAGATGAGAGAGCACCAGGTGGGCAGATGAGAGAGCACCAGGTGGGCAGATGAGAGAGCACCAGGTGGGCAGATGAGAGAGCACCAGGTGGGCAGATGAGAGAGCACCAGGTGGGCAGATGAGAGAGCACCAGGTTTGGTGGGTTGGGAGAGAGAGAGGAGACAGGGCTTTGAGACGACCCAAGAAGAGGGACAGGGACGACAGGGGAGCAGCGTGAGGGAAACCGCGTAACTCTCTTAAAAAGGTGTGAGAAGGTTGGGATTGGGAAGGGTTTGAGAAGGCTTGAGAAGGTTTGAAAAGGTTTGAAAAGGATCGAAAAGGTAGCATGCATGCAAACCGTTGGGAGGGGGGTGTCGCAGTGATGTGAGCAGCGCCAGCGCAGCTGTCGGGTCGTCCTCAAAGCGCCACGTCAGCGCCTCCAGCACGAGCGGCTGCTGACGTGGCTGCTGACCTAGCAGCTCCACGTATTCCTTGAAGCAGTTCTCTACCACGTCAGCATCCCTCCTCCTTCCCGTCGTGCCACCACCACCACTATCACCAGTACAACCAACAACCTCCCCTTCTTCCTCTGCTCCTTCTCTCTCTTCCTTTCTCCTTCCCACCGCCTCTGTCCCCTCCTCCCCTTCCCACCCCATTCCCACACCACCGCCGTTAAGCATCTCTCTTAAGAACACAAGACCCTCTCTGTGCAATCCTTTGAAAAATAGAAAGCGAATCACGTCGCGCCACCTGTCCTCCTCACGCAGCGCCGCCTCCACAGTGCTGACGTGGCAGAAGTTATCGGCTGCCCACAACGCATGCAGAGCCGATCGGAGCGGGTGCATCGGGTCCGCTGAGTCAGCAACACCCGTCGCTGACATGGATGCCCCCCCTCCACCTCTCCCCGCTCCTTCGCTCTGCATCTGAAATAACTCATTATCAGTCCCACCACCTCTCCCTTCCTGATTCGGAATGACAAGTGAAGGAGAAGAAGCAGGAGGAAGAGGCTGAGAGAGAGGTGTCTGAACAGAGAGAGCGGCAATAAAGCGATCAACCGCTGCAGGGGAGAACTCAGAAGGTGCTGCCTGTATGGCTAGCGCCTGCTCATGCCCATCACCAGTACGCACAGCAGCAGCAGAAGCAGCAGCAGTGACAGCAGCAGCAGCGCGAGAAATAGAGGCTGCATCCAGAGGCCCTTCGAAAGACACCCCCCCACCACCACCACCACCACTCGTTCCCAGGTTGTTACTGCTGCTGCTACTTTCTACGGTGGCGGTTGCATCGCCATTCTTGATGTTACTGCCAAGGGAACTGTGGGTGTTGTAGCTGCTGCTAGTGGCAGCAGGGGGAGAGGGGCTGGGACGCGCCCCGAAGGTGAGAGGGCCGGAGGAGGAGAAGAGCGAGTGGTTGAAGTCAAAGGCAGTCTCGGGCGAGTCAGGCGGTGATTGAGAGAGGATCGCCCTCTCTTCTGCCACTGCTGCTGCTTCTGCCTCTGCTGCTGCTTCTGCCTCTGCTGCTGCTTCTGCCTCTGCTGCTTGTGCTGCATCTGCTTCAGTTGATGCTGCTGATGCTTCTGCTGCGGAAGCTGTAACAGGTAGTGTGGAGGAGAAGGGGAGTGGTGGTGGGAGGGGGGTGAGGGACTGGAGGGCAAGAGAGAGGTACGTGTCGATCACAACTGCTGATGCTTCGGCTGCTGACATGATCTGCTGCTCCTCTCCCTCGTTCTCCTCTCCTTCCTTTCCTAGAGGCTCCGCTACTGCAGTGGCAGAAGCAGCAGCTGCCACTGGTGGTGGTGCTGCTGATAATGATGATGCTCCTGCTGCTGCTGCAGATGCTACAGCCGCTGCTCGCTTCTCTGCCAGGAAACCCACTAGAGACAGCAATGCCAGCTTGCGCTGCCGCCCGGTTAGATCTGATTGCGATTGCACTCCCAGTGGTGTTGCAGCAGCAGAAGGTGTGGAGGAAGGAGAGAGAGGGTAGGAGGGGGAGGAGGGGGAGGCGGAGGGGAAGGAGGGAGGGTAGGGGGAGGAGGAGGCAGCGAGGGAGAGGATGGAGGAGGGGAGGGAGGGGAGGAAGGGGAAGAGCGAGAGGGCTTGGAGGAGGGGCGGCGAGGAGCAGAGGGCGAGTTGCTGCATGGCCCGGTCGAATTCACCCGATGAGAATAGATGGTGGGCGAGACTGGGAGGGAGGGAGAGAGGCAGGTGGAGATGGGGGAGATGGAAAGGAGAGAGGATGATAACACAATATTAATAAACAAGATAGACGAGGTGGGAGGAGGAGGGGCAAGGAGCAGCGGGCGAGTTGCTGCATGGCCCGGTCGAATTCACCCGACGAGAATAGATGGTGGGCGAGACTGGGAGGGGGGGGAGAAGGAGGTGGAGATGGAGGGGACGGAAAGGAGAGAGGATGATACAAGACAACAATGAACAAGAAAGAAGGGGCAGGCAAGGTGGAGATGGGGGGGAGACGGAAAGGAGAGAGGATGATACAAGACAACAATGAACAAGAAAGAAGGGGCAGGCAAGGTGGAGATGGGGGGGAGACGGAAAGGAGAGAGGATGATACAAGACAACAATGAACAAGAAAGAAGGGGCAGGCAAGGTGGAGATGGGGGGGAGACGGAAAGGAGAGAGGATGATACAAGACAACAATGAACAAGAAAGAAGGGGCAGGCAAGGTGGAGATGGGGGGGAGACGGAAAGGAGAGAGGATGATACAAGACAACAATGAACAAGAAAGAAGGGGCAGGCAAGGTGGAGATGGGGGGGAGACGGAAAGGAGAGAGGATGATACAAGACAACAATGAACAAGAAAGAAGGGGCAGGCAAGGTGGAGATGGGGGGGAGACGGAAAGGAGAGAGGATGATACAAGACAACAATGAACAAGAAAGAAGGGGCAGGCAAGGTGGAGATGGGGGGGAGACGGAAAGGAGAGAGGATGATACAAGACAACAATGAACAAGAAAGAAGGGGCAGGCAAGGTGGAGATGGGGGGGAGACGGAAAGGAGAGAGGATGATACAAGACAACAATGAACAAGAAAGAAGGGGCAGGCAAGGTGGAGATGGGGGGGAGACGGAAAGGAGAGAGGATGATACAAGACAACAATGAACAAGAAAGAAGGGGCAGGCAAGGTGGAGATGGGGGGGAGACGGAAAGGAGAGAGGATGATACAAGACAACAATGAACAAGAAAGAAGGGGCAGGCAAGGTGGAGATGGGGGGGAGACGGAAAGGAGAGAGGATGATACAAGACAACAATGAACAAGAAAGAAGGGGCAGGCAAGGTGGAGATGGGGGGGAGACGGAAAGGAGAGAGGATGATACAAGACAACAATGAACAAGAAAGAAGGGGCAGGCAAGGTGGAGATGGGGGGGAGACGGAAAGGAGAGAGGATGATACAAGACAACAATGAACAAGAAAGAAGGGGCAGGCAAGGTGGAGATGGGGGGGAGACGGAAAGGAGAGAGGATGATACAAGACAACAATGAACAAGAAAGAAGGGGCAGGCAAGGTGGAGATGGGGGGGAGACGGAAAGGAGAGAGGATGATACAAGACAACAATGAACAAGAAAGAAGGGGCAGGCAAGGTGGAGATGGGGGGGAGACGGAAAGGAGAGAGGATGATACAAGACAACAATGAACAAGAAAGAAGGGGCAGGCAAGGTGGAGATGGGGGGGAGACGGAAAGGAGAGAGGATGATACAAGACAACAATGAACAAGAAAGAAGGGGCAGGCAAGGTGGAGATGGGGGGGAGACGGAAAGGAGAGAGGATGATACAAGACAACAATGAACAAGAAAGAAGGGGCAGGCAAGGTGGAGATGGGGGGGAGACGGAAAGGAGAGAGGATGATACAAGACAACAATGAACAAGAAAGAAGGGGCAGGCAAGGTGGAGATGGGGGGGAGACGGAAAGGAGAGAGGATGATACAAGACAACAATGAACAAGAAAGAAGGGGCAGGCAAGGTGGAGATGGGGGGGAGACGGAAAGGAGAGAGGATGATACAAGACAACAATGAACAAGAAAGAAGGGGCAGGCAAGGTGGAGATGGGGGGGAGACGGAAAGGAGAGAGGATGATACAAGACAACAATGAACAAGAAAGAAGGGGCAGGCAAGGTGGAGATGGGGGGGAGACGGAAAGGAGAGAGGATGATACAAGACAACAATGAACAAGAAAGAAGGGGCAGGCAAGGTGGAGATGGGGGGGAGACGGAAAGGAGAGAGGATGATACAAGACAACAATGAACAAGAAAGAAGGGGCAGGCAAGGTGGAGATGGGGGGGAGACGGAAAGGAGAGAGGATGATACAAGACAACAATGAACAAGAAAGAAGGGGCAGGCAAGGTGGAGATGGGGGGGAGACGGAAAGGAGAGAGGATGATACAAGACAACAATGAACAAGAAAGAAGGGGCAGGCAAGGTGGAGATGGGGGGGAGACGGAAAGGAGAGAGGATGATACAAGACAACAATGAACAAGAAAGAAGGGGCAGGCAAGGTGGAGATGGGGGGGAGACGGAAAGGAGAGAGGATGATACAAGACAACAATGAACAAGAAAGAAGGGGCAGGCAAGGAGCAGAGGCTCCATGGGCAATGTTGGGAGAAGAGTGGGAGAGAGAGGTTGAGTTGAGATGGAGCAGACGGAGAGGAAGAGGATGATATGATGCTCAGCACATGCACATGCACATGCACATGCACATGCACATGCGCATGATACGGCGTTCTACTCACCGCAGTCGAACCAAGTCCATACGCCTCCTTGGCTGGCCGCTCCCCTCCTCCTCCCCCTCGACATCATCCAGTCCCTCACACAGGGAGAGCGCCTCTTCAAACAGCCCCTCGCTCACTAGCTGGTCGATCTGCATTGTGACAAGCAGGGGCAGTGGAGAAGGAATAGGTATCAGATAGGTGGAATCAACCGCCTTCCCATCCTCCAGCCCCTCACACAGGGAGAGCGCCTCTTCAAACAGCCCCTCGCTCACAAGCTGGTCGATCTGCATTGCGTTGGGCAGGGCAAACAGAAAAGGTTCATCGGGTGTAGCAGGGGAAGCAGCTAAGGTTACACGGGTGTGAGAGAGGCTTTAAGCCTTGTCATCCTCAAGCCCGCACTCAAAAGCTGATCAATCTGTATGGTGGTGAGTAGGGGAAAACACAGAGGGTCATGTTTGTTTCAAGTAATAAGATATTGGTTGGGTGTACAAATTCGTAAGTTTCTTCATCATCCCTGCCTTTGGAGCTGTGAAACAAACCCTCCGAACAACACCACACCACACCACACCGTACCACACCTCTAAGCAGCACACACCTGGGCAGCAAGGGAGACAAGAGCAAACGATGTATACACACTCTCCTCTGCCACTGCAAACACACCCCGGGCTGACCGCCCTGCTGCCCTGCTGCTGCTGCTACCCTTGACAAAGACGCTGCTTGTAGCACTGGTACCACACAGCACAGCACACCACCACACCACACCGCACTGCATCACATCACAGAGCGACACGCGAGCGACATGCACCTGAGCGGCAAGGGAGACAGGAGCGACGATGTACACACTCTCCTCCGCCACTGCAAAGACCCCCCGGGCTGACCGCCCTGCTGCCCTGCTGCTGCCTTCAACGCCAGAGCTGGCAACGGGGAGAGGGGGAGGGGTCCACAGGGATGCACTCTCCCGCAGGGGGATGGTTTGCACCAAGGCGTGGCCTGGGAGCAGGGATCGCACCTGGGGGTTACAGTTAGGGGAACATGAGGGCAAGGCGAAAGGAAAGAGAGAACTCTGGCAGTGGCGAGAGAGGGAGGGGTCCTGAGGGCTGCACTCTCCCGCAGGGGGATGGTTTGGTTTGCACCAAGGCAAGAGCAAGGCGCGCACCTGGGAGTTAGGGGAAACATGAGGGCAAGGGGAAACATGAGGGCAAGGGGAAACATGAGGGCAAGGGGAAACATGAGGGCAAGGGGAAACATGAGGGCAAGGGGAAACATGAGGGCACGGGGAAACATGAGGGCAAGGGGAAACATGAGGGCACGGGGAAACAGGAGAGTGGAGGGACACAAAATTCTCAATACATGTGCTTGCTTGATCTTCTGCTGCTCTCACTCACGACTCTCCCCGAACAGCAGCTCTTGACTTGACAACCACAAAGAGTCATGACGGCATGACAGCCAAATAAGAGGGCGGGCGGTAGAGCACAAATAGGCACGACATGACAGCGAGTCGTCGGACAGACATAGGGACATGAAGGCTTTTGAGAATTCTCAAAAGCACCTCAGTGCAGTAGGGAAGCTTTGCGACGGCATAGGGTGGCATGACAGTGTTGTGGGAGGTGGTGCACACGTGCGCATGGGCATGAGGGTGCAATGTGAATCAAATGTGATGGCGCGGCATACCTCAATGCGAGGGCGTAGGGCAGCATGACAGCCACGTGGGAGGGCGGTGGTGCATACAAGGACATGGCATGACAGAGACTCGTAAGAGCGAGGCAGAGACATGAAGACCATACCTCAATGTAGTTGGGCAGCTTGGCGAGGGCGTAGGGCGGCATGACAGCCACGTGGGAGGGCGGGCGCGACCAGTTGATGCCGTGGGAGCGCAGAGGGCGACCAGAGGCGTCAAGAAAGAGCCCTATGCTGTCCTGATGGGAGGGAGAGGAGGGGAAGGGCGGTTGGTGGGGTGTGAAAGTAGATGCCATGGAGACGCAGAGGGCTACCAGAGGGAGGGAGAGGGGACGGGAGGGGGGGGATCAGTAGATGCAATGGAGACGCAGAGGGCGACCAGAGGCGTCAAGAAAGAGCCCTATGCTGTCCTGAGGGGGGGGGGGAGCAGAGAGGTGTGGCGGAAGAGGAGAGGCAAAGGTTGATGGGGCCGTACGGTGCATTGTAGCATGTGCTTTTTGAAAATTCTAAAGAAACCGACGTACGGTGCATTGTACACGCCACAATGCATTGTACGCCAGAGGCGTCAAGGAAGAGCCTTGTGCTTTCCTGATGGCGGATGGTTAAGATGGGGGGTTGAGGGGGGGGGGGGCTCAGCGGGAAGGAGAGGAGCAAGGGAGAATAAGCAGCAGTCTACCTTCGCCAGAAACATCTGGACAGGTGGCAACTTGACAAACACTGGAATTTTTTTAGGCGCCTAAAAAATCGCCTCAAAAGGCGCCTAAAAAAAAGCAGCAGTCTACCTTCGCGAGAAACATCTGGACAGGTGGCAACTTGACAAACACAGGGCGCGGCCACCTGCCCACAGCATCTCTCTGTATTGAGGTGCGCTTTTTAGGCTCACCTGCACGTGGACCCCACAAACATCACCTCAATAGGCGCGGCCACCTGCACGTGGACCCCACAAACATCACCTCAATAGGCGCGGCCACCTGCACGTGGACCCCACAAACATCACCTCAATAGGCGCGGCCACCTGCCCACACTGCCCACATGCCACCTCCTAAGACCTCACCTTGCCGACCACACGGGGTAGCTTCACCACACTGGGAGGCGCCTACCTGCCCACACGGGGTAGCTTCACCACACTGGGAGGCGCCTACCTGCCCACACGGGGTAGCTTCACCACACTGGGAGGCGCCTACCTGCCCACACGGGGTAGCTTCACCACACTGGGAGGCGCCTACCTGCCCACACGGGGTAGCTTCACCACACTGGGAGGCGCCTACCTGCCCACACGGGGTAGCTTCACCACACTGGGAGGCGCCTACCTGCCCACACGGGGTAGCTTCACCACACTGGGAGGCGCCTACCTGCCCACACGGGGTAGCTTCACCACACTGGGAGGCGCCTACCTGCCCACACGGGGTAGCTTCACCACACTGGGAGGCGCCTACCTGCCCACACGGGGTAGCTTCACCACACTGGGAGGCGCCTACCTGCCCACACGGCAGCATGTCCCGCCATGAGCCGCCGCTGCCAGCGGTGCCACACATGCACGAGCCCTCCCTCCCTCCCACTACTACAATCTCACCTTGCCCACCAACATCTCTCCCCAGGGCAGCTTTACAACACTAGGTGGGGCCACCTGCCCGCACGGCAGCATGTATGTCACACCACGAGCCACACATGCACCTGCCTGCCTCCCTCCCTCCTCCAATACCACAAACAGTCTCACCTTGCTGACTAACATCTCCCCTCGGGGCAGCTTCACCACACTGGGAGGGGCCACCTGCCCGCACGGCAGCACGGCAGCATGGTAACCACACCTGAACCTGCCTCCCTCCCTCCGCCTTTACTCCAAACAGTCTCACCTTGCCGACTAGCATCTCCCCTCGCGGCAGTTTCACAACACTAGGCGGCGCCACCTGCCCGCACGGCAGCATGTCCCGCCACGAGCCGCCGCTGCCAGCGGTGCCGGGCGGTGGGATGTGGTGCAGAAGGTACTTGGTGGGCGTGGCGGCACAGAGGGTGGTGGGCGAGGGCAGGGCGAGCAGGCGAGGGGCGTCTGGACAGGTGAATTCTCGTTCCTCCTTGAAGGTTGAACGGCCTGGGGGGTCGGGAGAGGGGAATGGTTGGGAAAAAAAGGGAGAATGAGGAGGGAGAGGAGGGGATGGGATGAAGGGGCGTCAGGACAGGTGAATTCTCGTTCCTCCTTGAAGGTTGAACGGCGTGGGGTTGGGGAAGGGTAAGATGGGAAGGGAGAAGGAGGAGGAAGAGGAAGGGATGGAGTGAGTGGCCTCAGAGGGGTGTCTGGGCAGGTGAACACTCGCTCCTCCTTGAAGGTCGAAGTGCCTGGGCTGGGAGGGATGAGGGAGGGAAAGGGAGGGAGAAGGCGGAGGATGTGAGGAGGAAGTGGGGAGGGCGGAAACACAGGGCGAGCAGGCGAGGGGTGTCTGGACAGGTGAACTCTCGTTCCTCCTTGAAGGTTGAACGGCGTGGGGGTGGGGAAGGGTAAGACGGGGAAGGGAAAGACGGGAAGGGAGAAGGAGGAGGAAGAGGAAGGGATGGACTGAGCGGCCTCAGCTTTTGAGGCGCCTCAAAAGTCGGGAAGGGAGAAGGAACGAAGAGGAGGGGCGTGTGGGCACGTGAACGTGAACTCTCGCAAGTTGAACTGCCTGGGGGAGAGCCGAGAAGGAAAGACTCAGAAAGGGAAGGAGTCGGAAAGAGTTGGACTGAAGGGGAAGAGCAAGGAGGAGAAGGGGAGGGGATGGGATGAAGGTCCTGTGAGGGCATCTGGGCACGTGAACTCGCGCTCCTTCCTTCTAGAAGGTTGCTCGGCCTGGGGAGGAGTGGTTAGGGTGGATTGATGGAGGCATGAGGACGAGTGAGGAAGGGAGGAAAGAAGAGATGAGAGAAGAAAGATGAGAGAGGTGGCAGGAGAGGAGATACGCAGCAGTACCACTGGCAGTGGCACCACTTTCAACCATTCCCAACCCACAACGACCCACCATCAAACCGCAGCACGAGCACTCTCCTCTTGATCGCCACACACAGCACGCCAAGTTCTCTCCTCTGAAGTGCCATGTCTCACCGCATTAAACCATTCCTAACCAACACAAGCTCACCATCAAACCACACCACAAGCACTCTCCTCTTGATCGCCACACACATCACGCCACCCTCCACCTTCCTCTACAAACATTGAATTCACCCCTAACTTACCGTTGCTCACCGCATTTAACCATTCCCAACCTGCATCAACTCACCGTCAAACCGCAGCACGAGCACTCTCCTCTTGATCGCCACGCACAGCACGCCGCCCTCCGCGTCCCACGCCAATGACGTGGCGCCAGCTGTGCGCGGGAGACACGTCAGCGGCTCCAGCGTCGGCAGCGCTGCCAGCCTCACGCAGTCCGCCAGCGCGATCAGCACGCCCGCCGCCCCGGACGCGGCGGATGCGGCGGAAGCGGCGGGGGTGGCGGAACTATCAGCAGCAGCAGATGTCGGTAGCGCGGCGACTTCGAGTCGCAGGATGGCGGATGGCGCGAAACCGTCCCTCCGTGCGAACAGCGAATAGCCACCGTTGCCGGCCGCGACACGCGGCGCGGAAGCCGCTGATTGGTCCGTCGCCGCTGATGATCCTGCCGGGCGGTACTCTAACAGCGCGCCGTCGCTGCAGCCAATGAGAATGGAGGAGCGCCATTGGGTGCAGCAGAGAATGCGACTCGGCGACGCCGTCGCCGTCGCGGCGGGACCGAGGAAGCGGCTGAGAGCGGTACTCGGGGGAGCGGGAGAAGAGCGAGAGCTACCAGTGGTGTCCGTTAGGGTTATGGCGCGAACGAGCTGAAACGCCGCGTGACCCATGCCGCTCACGCTCTCGGCTTTAACTCACTCTCGTTACATTCACCTCGATAGAAGCCTGGCTGCTAGGATGCGGCAACCTGGTTAGTCATTTACGCCTTCGCACCACACACATTCTTAGGGTGGTTCAGGTAGCATTCATTTGTTTTGAAATTTCCGTAAATTTCGCGGATCATCCCGGAAGTATACAGAATACATTCCTGTCAGATTCAACCAGGTTTCCCCCGCAAACTGAAACAATTCATTTGCGAAACAATAGCAGCTGCTTTTACGAGGTAACTACACCCCAGACAAACAGTAACCCGAATCGTTAGCACTTGAATGCTGGCTGGGCGAGAGGTTGCTTGTTACTCGCAGCCGCTCTTGGCTCGTCGCGATCTATCATACGAGCCTCGGTGAGTTTCGTCTCCTATATTAAAAAATGCATAGGAAGTACAGCTACAAGCGACACGGAACCTGTTTCACAAATTATCTGAAAACGAACGCCCCCTCACCTGCCCTTAGGTTTTTTAGAGATTCTCAAACCACTTCTCACCATCTCCGCACTCTTGTGGCTGCACTCCGCTTCTTCCGCTGCGCCCTCTCCATACGTATTATCTCATGTTCCTTCTCACTAGTAGGCCGCGCTTCTGTAACTCGTAATCTCCTGGGACTTGGCGGTGATTTTCGGCGTATTCCGCGTCATCGCACTACCCGTTTTTCGCTGTTACTTCATGGTATGAATCGCCATGCCAGTCGAAAATACCCTCCCATACATCGTGCCGCATGTAAACGAACTCCTCCTTCGCTCCTCCCTCCTTGCACCTCCCTTCTGTTAACCTCATGGCCAGGATCATCGGGTGACACACACACCAGTAGTTCACCCTTTCCGCGCCCCTCCCCTGCTTCAACCCCTCCCCTCCTCCCGTCCTTCCGTCCTCTCTTCCTCCCCTCTTCCCCCTCTCTCCCCTTCTCCCCCTCCGCCTCCCCTACCCCCTTCCTCTCCCCCTTCCGCGCCCCTTCTCGCTCCCAGGAATCCTCGGGGAACGCGGCAGCAGCGTCGGATCCGCAGTCACAGGGCACCACAGGGGGAACGCCTTTTGACGCGCCTCAAAAGCCCCTTCCTATCCCCCTTCCGCCCCCCCCTTCTCGCTGGCAGGATTCCTCAGGGAACGCGGCAGCACCGTCGGATCCACAGTCACAGGGCACCACAGGGGGGACACAGGCAGAAGCAGCAGCGCCTCACAACGTTGCTGACCTCACAGCCTTTGTCAGTTGCCGTGCCAGACCATGCCAATAACGCCATTCTATGCCATGCTATGCTATGCCATGCCATGCTATGCCATACTATGCCATGCTATGCCATGCTATGCCATACCATACCATGCTATGCCATACCATACCATGCTATGCCATACCATGCCATGCTATGCTATGCCATGCCATGCTTGCATATTCGCATACATGATAAATTCCATGTCGTCAGCGCTATCCTCGTTTCCATCCACCAACTTCTGTCCGTCTAGACACGCATGCCATGCTTGAATCTGCCTTTTCAGCATCTTCCCGTATGGGATTGTTTCCATGTCATCAGCGCTATCCTCGTTTCCATACACCAACATATGCCCGCCTGCAAGACACGCACTTGATCCTCCCTGCAAGTCACGCGCGCGTGATGAGACGATTTTTTAGTCGACTCAAAAATCGTCACACCAACTTCTGTCCACCTTTAAGACACGCATGTGATGGACCGTGCAAGACGTGTATGTAGCGCACCATGCAAGGTGCGCATGTGACGCTCCACAGATTGACTTGGCCGATCTGTGATGTGATTTAAAAAGATGTGATGTGTGCATAATACCCTAGCACCTAACTCGACTAGAAAAGAAGTGTACGCATGATGCTGTGCATTCGCTTTCGATGCTATTCATGCATGATGCTATTCGCGCGTGATGCTATGTGCGTGTACAGTGTGATTCCCATGCACTGCACTCACTTTCTCTTGCCCCTGTGTGTTGCCCCTCTGTGTGTCCCACCTTGCAGGTACAAACGCTTCTTCAGCAAATGGTGAGCCTCAATGCCCCCTAGTACCACTCAAATCATCATCTTGCTTTCCCTAGCTCTGAGTCAACTCAACAAACGCTCTTTCAGCAAATGGAAAGGCGCCATGTCCCGAGCTGACTTTTGAGTCGACTCAAAAGTCATCTCCATGTCCCGCAATACCAGTCAAATCATCTTGCTTTCATTACTTCACTCTCGCCTCTCGTCCATCTTCTCTGCTCCCTAATCCGCGTTTCCATTCCGTGCCATCATGTTCCTCCACATACACTTAGTAAAGCCCGAATTCATTTTTCTTCAATCTGTTTTCTTTCCATTGCGCCGTGCCCTCCACCTGCTCTCTGTTCCGGTGCCCTGCAGCAAGCACGCTTCCAGACCATGTCCGATACAATCATCTCGAGGAATAGCCACGTGATAATAAAAGCGTTTTGAGACGTCTCAAACCATGTCCGAGACGATCATCTCGAGGAAGGCCAACACTAGACTTGTTTGAAGTCTCATCGAACCGTATTTGTCCGTTTTGCACCAACCTCCCATGCAGCAAGCTCGCTTTCAAACCATGTCCGAGACGATCATCTCGAGGAATATCCGCCTTGCCGCCCTCCATTGCCCTTTTCCTCCTCCCTCTCCTTTACTTCGCGTTTTACTTCCTCCCTGTTCTTCCACCCACCTCCCTCTCATGTCCACCTTTCACATTGCATGTTATGTCATGTGTTTTTCGGTCGTTTACAATCAGGAGCGTTTGTTTGCTCATCTCCCTTCTCTTCTTCACCTCTCTCCTGCCATGCCTGTTGTTCATCCTTAACGCACTCTCCTCTCTCTCTCTCTTGCCCCCCGTCCTCTTCCCTGTCTCGCACTCGCCTCAATCCTCTCTCTCTCCTATTCCGGTTCTCCTAATCCATTTATCCTTAACACTTGACGAGATGGGCACACGCATAGACGAGCTAGAGCGGAACGTGACTGACCTTATAAAGGAGACAGGAGCCACAGACTCCTCCGCAGCAGCCTCAGCACCGGCCAAGGCCGAGCAACAGGAGCCATAAACTCAGCTGCCTGTTGCTGGCCAGGAAGAAGGCCAGGAATGCTGCTGCTGAAGCTGAAATGGAGGGACATAGTATATGCGTGAGCTCTTTTACCGATTGAGCACTTTTACCGCGTCCTCAGGAGGGCTTGTGTGTGTGGGAAGGGAATCACCCAGGGAGGTGGCGCGACCTGAGTGTAGTGCATTCGTTGGGTGGGGGGCTGTGGGTTGGTAGAGGTTGCTTGGGTGTCCAAGTGTGTTAATATCTCATTATTCGCCAATACAATCAGAATTCAATAAAAGCAAATCATTCATCGTCTAGCTCAACCCTAAGAGTCAATCGAAAATCACAGCCATCATGGTCCTGAACTCACTGTAATCCACACATTCATCCCCGTTAGTGTCCACCCGCTTTATCATCCGTTTGCAGTCTTCCATCGTGAAATCATCCCCGTGAAAAACACCTATAACGAACTGTAGCTCTTCCGCGGTAATAACCCCGTTGCTGTCACGGTAAAAAACCTCAAACGCGCGAAACAAATCTCCTTCCATCTCGTCCTTTTCTGAGTCACTTCCACCGTCCGGTTCTGATTCCTCATCATCGGATGATGGAACTGAGACGAAGTATTCACCCAGGAGGGACGGCTCTGCGCGCGCCGAGAGCAAAAACTCCTCGAAATCAATCATCCCGTCGCCGTCCACGTCAGCTTCTCGAATCACATCCTCCACAAAGCCAATCAAATCACCATCTTCCTCGAGCAACCTAATACCACTACCGCACAATCCACGCTTCGACCTAGCAGCTGCTTTGTCCAGCCGCGCTAGGAGCGTCGCGAGCTCGTGGGCGGAGATTTTCCCATCCTTGTCGAGGTCGATGGTCTCGAAGGTGCGAGCCGCCTCGCGACGGAACGAGGAGGACGCGATTTGGCGGATTTGGCTCGAGGGAAGTTTTTTCAAACCTGCCGCAACGCTGCCATGGTGTTGAGTGGCCATGCACGCCGGGGAGGCAGAAAGAATATCGAGAAGGGTCCGAAATGTGTGAAGACGGGAATCAGGGGAGATGGGATGCGCCAAAGCGAATGCGATGAGGAGATTAACTCTACAACGGTGGGAGCTAGACTGCAGGGTAGGCACGAGTTGGTAGAGTGATCGTAGCTCTGTCTGTGTTCTCGAGGACTTGTGTTTTCACAGGGCAAACAGCAAGAGTTTCACTAAGGAAAAGTTGAGGATACAGAGTTCAGAATGAGAACAAGCAATGGCAAAGATTGACTACATCACATGCAAGGTTTGCTAGTGCTCAGGCAGGTCGAGTGCCAGCATGACAGAGTTGTTGACCTGCCAACGAAGCAAGTCCGCGGTCTGCCAACGCAGCTTGTACGCGACTCGCCAACGCTGCAGATGGCGGCCTGCCAACGCTGCACCCGCGCGGCTTGCCAACGTAGCATCCGCGCGGCTTGCCAACATTGCATCCGCAGGTGATTGTAAGCATATGTGCAGGCACCTACTTCGTAGTTGCTTGTAGACAGTTATGCACGACGTGCACTGTCACACACATTGCGCAGGTTGTCAGCCACATGCTGACGGTTGCACATGATGAGCCACGTCGACCACGTGCTGCCACGCCGGTCGACTTTGCCACAACAGCCTCGACGACGTTCGCACACCTTCGCGCACCTCGTCGAGCAGGTAACTTGGTCAACCAGATGAATTACTTGACATCTCTGCAAGATGATGACCTTCGTCATCACCAGTTGTCGACCTTCGTCGTCGCAGGTTGACGACCTTCGTCGTTGCTGCTCGACGACCTTCGTCGAGCACCTTCGTTGAACACCTCGGTTGACATTTCAAAATGTCAGCTCCTGATTGGTCGAAATTAGGGCACATTCGAGTTTCTGGCCAAAATTCGCCTGTGGAGTCTCAATGTTGCGCAGGGCCAGACGCGACC